ACAGTTCAAAGTTCAAAAGCAACATTGCAACTGTTGTGTCTATACAGTTTTAGTTATTTTTACCTTATGAATGGGATGAAGGTTATTGTTCTTAAATGAAAATAAAGCATGTTAATTAGTCTAAATCACAAGTTATGGGACACAACTATAACCCTGTCACTGAGATTTGACTTGTACTGCATTTTATGATTACCTATTTGTTGATTTACAATGATTTGCCTTGAACTGTGTTTACTAAGTCTTGGTACGCGTTTTGTGGGAATCAATAGTTAGTTTGTATTTAACTTGATAAAACACTGCTGCCGCCTTACCCCTTCATGCTAAAACCGTTAATAATTTCAAAATTATTCAGTGAGAATAAGAAAATCCTTTGAAATGGATGAGAATTTTAATGAGAAATTTTACTCTATGAGTGAAATTAGTGCAAGTACACGTATGTTTTTAAATTTCAACTACGTATTTGAAAATAATATTTTTTGTAAAAGGGCAAAATCTTGTTTTTTGATAGCACGTGCATGTGTATAGTTTCTTGATTTATTAAAGGATTAGTTATTTATTGTTAGTTAATCTTATCAATATTGAACTAAGCCAAATTTCCGTTTATTTACAACCAGCAAATGAAATACACCATTCAATGTATCAAAACTTCATTATTGATTTTTTGCAATTACTGAAACTAACATACATGTTACTATTCAAATAAATACAATATTATTTTCCGATGATTTCACATTTAATACGATTTGTGTAGACTGAATTGTACATTATTTCCAACACACGCCATTATACAGCGGTCTTCGCTACGCGTTGTCAGCTCAAATCCGATTATGGCTCGGCCTTTCTTTGTTTTTGTGACAAAGACTAATGCTACCTTAGTGAGGGGACCTCGGAATCCGAAACATATTTCTGCTTTCTGTGTGTATAAATAATTTATCACATACAGTCATATTTTAAAGTCAACTAATTGGTATACATAAAATGTATAATCATTGACACTCAGAAAAATATTATTTTTCCTGAACCTCACATAATATAGTATAGAATGAATATAATCAATGGTTTAAAAATTGTCCGCCGAGTCGACCTATGGTGATTGAATCGCGACTCCGACTCCGCCGACTCGGGATCGGGAGTTGAGGAACTGAAGAACGATGAATTAGAACAACTCAATTTCAAGAGTAGCTCAGAAGAACGGGAATAAAGAGACTTTTTTTGCCATAGAGTAAAAGCTTGTCGATAAACTGGGACTATTTCATTGTCGACAAAATGCGACGTCGATCATTTGCGACGTCGGTTATTTAGGATGTCGGTAAAATGGGAATATTTCAGTATCGACCAAATGGGAATAATTCAGTTTCGATCAGTTTCTATGGTTGTCGATGATATGGAACCCACCCACTGTAGATAGATTTTATAAAATATATATTTTTCATACAATTGTAAAGCTCACTGTTACCTCTGTTTCTCTGTAGAGGTAAAAGAAACTCACGAAAAATTTTCCAGACAAAATTTACTTCAAAGTGGTGGGGGGTGGGGGGGGGGGAGATTTAGCTTAGAGTAGCTGTAGAGTACTCGCTAGATGGATGACCTCTAGGATCGTGGAACAAGTGAACACCAGTGCCAGTATGATATTATGATTTAATAAGTGTGCACACCCTGGATAAATACTTCAAATAAAGAGAATCGTTAGTGATATTATAAAAATTTAGAATGATAAAATAGCAAATAAAACAGAAATAATATGCTTGAATATGTACACCCTTTTTTGTAATCTGTTTCTTATACACAGATATTTAAAGACAGTTTCTCTTGACACTTAAATTTTATTTATAATATAATTTTGATAATATAACATTATACTCCCAGAGGGTAAGGCGTGCCTCAGGTATCCATAGCTGGTATGCGTGTGATGGTATCCCCATATGCTGGTATGCGTGTACTTGAATCCATATTCCGCTATCCATACTGGAGGTTTCCATATGCCGCTATCCATGTAATGGTATCCATGCCGCTATCTATTTGCTGATATTCTCAAGCACCCCTTATCCTCTGGGAGCTTCGTTTCAATTACATTGGACGTATACGTACGCCGATTATGATCGTACAATCCATTTTGTATCTCAATAACAATTCATAAAGACCTAATCCTCCAACGAATCCGATAACAAAATAAAACATGGTTGTGAATTTTAAATGATTATGATTCTGATTTTTAATTACCACGGTAACCCGTGCAATGTTGTCCATAGTAACAGTTAAGGTTTACAAATAAAATTTGTTTTGAATAAGACATACAGCTTAGAAGAATTACAATGGACATGCTGAGCATAGCCACGCATAGTTGTCGATAGTTTTTTTTAGGTTTTAAGAAATATTAACGCAATTGAAATCCGTACAGAGTTAGTTTATGTTGTAAAAATTTATATAATAGATGATTGAACGAAGTGAACGAATCTATGTATCGTGTATAGCGGAGTCGGAGAAAAGTTGTCCGCTTCCGCTTGTCTGTGAGTCCGTGAGTCCGTGAGTGTGTTCGCATCAAAACTCAAGAACAGTTGCACTTATAGCATTCAAATTTTGCACAAATAATTATAACACCAGTGGGAAGACACCATTAAAATTCTAGACGATTCCGCTCAGTAGTAATTATAAAACCCTAAAAATAAATTTTTAAATTAGTCCCATAAGAATAACATTAGAAGCGAGTAGTCATGGCAGCGATCGGGCAGGAATTTGACCTTGAGATGATCTCAGCTGATTAGTTGACCACAGCTGACCACGTGCAGTAGGTGTTTGTATTAAATAAATTATTAAATTATGGATAAAAAGTGTTGGCCTGACCGGGTTTCGAACCCCGGTCTTTTTGCTGGTAGTTGGAGTCGTTACCATATGAGCCACAACAGTAATTATGGGTATGGAGTTTTATATCGGTAAATGACACCTTATACCTATACCTACTCTTGTACCTTGCATATACAGGGTGTGTATTGGAGATTTGATTTTAACATGGTTCATGGGTTCGAATCTAACCTATGTTAGAGGTTCATGGGTTCGAATCTAACTAATGGTAACTGAGGTTTACTGGTTCAATCCTAACCTATGCTAGAGGTTTATGGGTTCGAATCTAACCAACCACTAATGGTAACTGAGGTTTACTGGTTCAATCCTATCCTAGTAGGTCTGGAAAAAAACACATTATATAGTGTATAATGCTTAAACCTTACTGTTGATCATAATGGTAAATGTTGGAGGTTATTTTATATAGTGTATAGTGCTTAAACTTTACCGTTGAGCATGTTATGTTGATTTTGTACATGTGTATCTCTGTAACTTATATATACAGGGTGTGTAAATATTGGTTGGAGGTTCACGGGTTCGAATCTAACCAATCACAAAACATATTATTAGAGGTTCAATGCCGGATGTAATCTAACCACAGCTGATTACGTGATCTAGTTTAGAGGTTCACGGGTTCAATCCTATCCTAGTAGGATTTGTAAAAAAAAACATTTTATATAGTGTATAATGTTTAAGTGGAACCTTACCGTTGATCATAAAAGAATGTTAAATGTGTAGTAGCATTGGAGGTTATTTTATATAGTGTATAATAAATGTGAAACAAACAGATGTTAAAAACAGCTGAAAGAGGGCTTAAGTTTATCATTGAGTATAAAAAATGGCCTTTGTAATGGCTATTAAATATCATATGTCAAACTTACATCTAATCTATGCTAAACGAGTTCTTTGTATTGTAGTGTGAGTCCTGGAGGTTCATGGGTTTAATCCTGACCAATCACCAATCATTCCTGGTTGGGGTGTTTTTTTTGTATAGTTAACTGTTTGTATATGAGTTCTGAAGGTTTGATCTCTTGTATATGTAACATAACCCCACTTTTTTACCTAAACCACTTTGTTAATTCACCACTGGAGTGCCAGTGTCGATGGTATAATTATAATAATGATTAACTTGATATAAGATTCATCATAACAGATTACTAAGTGTTGATGATATTAGTTTACAAATTCTCTATTAGGTAGCAGTACTAGTGCTACCAACTACTGTTAGCCACTTATGTGACTTTGTATATGTAACATAACCTCACTTTTTACTTAATAATTTATTACTAACAGTATGTTACTCTGAGTTGAGGTATTAGTTTACAAATTATCTACCAGGTTACAGCACTAGTGCTACCAACTACTGATTATATTGTATATGTAATATAACCTCACTTTTTACTTAATAATTTAGCATTAAGTGTTGACAATATATTATTTTGAGTTGATGGTATTAGTTTACAAATTCTCTACTAGGTAGCAGTACTAGTGCTACCAACTACTGTTAGCCACTTATGTGACTTTGTATATGTAACATAACCTCACTTTTTACTTATTAATTTATTATTAAGTGTCGATGGTATTAGTTGAGGTATTAGTTTACAAATTCTCTACTAGGTAGCAGTACTAGTGCTACCAACTACTGATTATATTGTATATGTAACATAACCTCACTTTTAACCTAAACAAGTCTATTAATTTAGCATTAAGTGTTGACAGTTTGTTACTCTGAGTTGATGGTATTAGTTTACAAATTCTCTACTAGGTAGCAGTACTAGTGTATAGCCAACTACTGATTATATAATATATGTAACATAACCTCACTTTTAACCTAAACCACTTTGTTAATTCACCACAGGAGTGCTAGTGTTGATGGTATAATTATAATAATGATTAACTTAATATAAGATTCATCATAACAGATTACTAAGTGTTGATGGTATTAGTTTATAAATTCTCTACTAGGTTACAGCACTAGTGTATAGCCAACTACAGGTTAGGTGCTCTTGTAACATAACCTCACTTCTGTCTTATATGCTTTCCCGCCAATTTTTCCATTGCCTCCCCCTATTAGATTATGTAATTTTAAAACTTGTTGGATATTTAGTTGAAAGAATAATGAAAACAACTGTGAAAGCTAAATATGAATTTATTTATATATACAAACTTATATTACTCTATTTTATATTATTTACACAAACTTATAACTAAATACTTAATGCTAGTAGAGGAGGAGGAGAGGGGCAGCCATCTGAAACAAACAATAAACATAATTAGTATATAATAATTATATAGTATATAATATTAAATATAATGTCTACATCCTGTATGGTATTGCATCATCTAAAATAGCAACTATCACTTCCTGTGTACCAAATCACAACCGGATAACCACCTTTGATAACCACTTTTGTGGTATTGCATCATCTAAAAACAGCTATCACTTCCTCTTGTGTACCACGTCACCTTTGATAACCACATTTGTGGTTATCTTTGTCCCTATATAAACTCTTATCGCAACCCTGCCATTATTGCATCACTTTGCTCCCAGTGCTTCAAGATGATGGATGTAAGTAACTCTGCTCCAGTAGATTCCAATGAATCTGTTGATAATAATGAACCTGTAAATGTTGTAGAAGATTCTGTTGAAGTAATTGTCCCTGTAAATATTCTAGATAAACATGAAAATTATGTAAAGAGATTTCGCATTCATGGAATTAATACTGTTTTTAAGTTTTCTAATCCCCCACCAGAAACTAGTGAGATTGACTGGCTAAGACAAGGGTTTGGTCAAATTGTAAATGAAATGAAAGAAGTTTGTCAGGAGGGCGACCAATTGGGATTCACTCTGCGTTCACTTAACCTAAAAAGTAAAGAGCCAGGGTTTGTTGCTTTTCGACCAGCAAATGAAGTAAACGAGGATGTCTTGTGGCAAATCTTTGGGGGAATTGTCCAAAGTAACGCTGAATCAATCAAGTCCACAGACACGTTTCAAGTTGAATGTACCCGAGTTAATCTACCTGTAGGTTCAGGGTGCCGCAAAAGACCAGGCTTGTATAATACATTTGATGAAGAATGTAAAGCTAGGAGTGGTATTGTTGTAATTAACAATAAAGATAACCTGTGTCTTCCTCGTGCTATTGTAGTGGCTATAGCTAATGTAACTAAAGATCCAGAATACAAAGCTGTGAAACAAGATGACAGAAAAAGACAGACTGTTAGGGCTCAAGAACTTGTACGTAGAGCTAGAGTTGTGATGCCTGAGGGTGGTGCAGGCATTCCCGAACTTGAAAAATTCCAACATTTGCTTAAAGATTATAAAATCACTGTGTACAACTACAACGCTAAAGGTCGGGATGTGTATTTTGAGGGAAATGTAGAGAACCCCAAGTTCAAAATTAACTTGTTGTTTCATAATGGACATTACAATGTAATTACTAGCCTGACTGCTGCTTTTGTATGTAACCATTTCTGTGATGGTTGTCATGTCCCGTATGATCATAAAGGAGCCCACAGATGTTCAAACATTTGTCCTTGTTGTCAAACCATCTCACCTCCTTGTGTAGAGGAGTATGGGGGAATCTTTTGTCCTAAATGCAATCTAACTTATAAAAACCAACGCTGTTTCATTGCGCATCAGGTTGATAGGTGTAAACATGTAAAGAAATGTCTCGATTGCGGGAAACTAGTTTTGCTTAGGGGACGATCAACCCCACATAAGTGTGGGGAAATATTTTGTAAACCTTGTGGAGCATTTAAAGATCCTAACCATAAATGTTATATGAAACCTGATGAGGGTAAACCTAAATCTAAAGATTATGCTTTTATTTTCTTTGACTTGGAAACCCGTCAGGATGAGCCTCTGCCCTCTGACCCTGAAAGTAAAGTGCATAAAGTAAACTTGTGTGTGTCCCAGCAATTTTGTTATCAGTGTATTGAGGGGAAATTCTGTATAGCATGTAAAAATCGTACACGAGTGTTTGACTCTGACCCTATCAATCAGTTTATGAACTATGTCATGTCAGTGAGGAAACAGTTTAAAAAAATCTGTGTAATTGCACACAATGGGCAGGGATTTGACTTTCAATTTTTGTTAAAGTACTTGTTGGAAGAAACAAAATTCACACCGGAACTTGTAATGCGGGGAACTAAAATCATTCTAATGGAAATTGATAATGTGAGGTTTGTTGACTCCCTTAGCTACTTCCCTATGGCTCTGTCTGCTCTGCCTAAAGCCTTTGACCTACCTCCAGAGAAAAAGAAAGGCTACTTTCCCCACCTGTTCAATACTCTGGCAAACCAAGACTATGTAGGCCCTATGCCAGACAAAAAGTACTACTGTCCCGAATCTATGTTTGAGAAATCTTACAATGACTTTGAAAAATGGTACAGCAATCAGGTCATTAGTAACTATGAGTTCAACTTTAAAAATGAGATCCTAGCCTATTGTATTTCAGATGTTGATATCTTAGCCCAAGCCTGTCTAAAGTTTCGTTCAATTTTTCTAAAAGAGTGTAATGTTGACCCGTTTCTCGAGGCTGTTACCATTGCGAGTGCTTGTAATCTAGCTTTCCGCCGTAATTTCCTGAAACCCAATACTATTGGACTTATCCCTAAGAACGGCTATCGATTAGTAGACAATCAATCAAATATAGCGCTCCAATGGCTTTCTTGGGTCGAGGAAACCAACGGGATTAGGATTGACCACGCAGGTCGAGGTAAAGAAGTCAAAGTCAATGGAATGAAAGTAGATGGTTTTGATGGCAGGAACATCTACGAATTTAATGGCTGTTATTTCCACGGGTGTGTTAAATGTTTTCCTTACAACCGTCACGCTCCTTTAAAAGAGGATCCTTCTGATAGCCTACATCTTCGCTATGAGCGAACCAAGGCTAAAAATGCAAAGTTTACAGAACACGCACTAGTAGAGATGTGGGAATGCGAATTTCGTAAACAAAAAAAAGATCAGCAGCTTAAATATCTGGATAGTTTGCCTATCTTAAACAATCTCCCACTTGATCCAAGGCAGGCTTTTTTTGGAGGTAGGACGGGTAACGCAAAATCGTATCACAAATGTGTTGAGGGGGAAACTATACAGTATGTCGATGTTTGTTCCCTATACCCTTATGTTTGTAAGTATGGGAAGTACCCCATAGGCCACCCAACCATCTATGTAGGAGACAGGGAGTGTCGTGAAAGAGGTATGGGTGTAGAGGGTTTGTTAAAATGTAAAGTATTGCCGCCTCGTGATCTCTACCACCCTGTACTCCCTACAAAAATGAATGATAAATTGATGTTTGTGTTGTGTAGAACGTGTGGGGAAATGATGTATCAGGGAGAGTGTAATCATGACAGTGATAATAGGGCGTTAGTTGGGACATGGACAATGGATGAAATCAGAAAGGCAGTAGAGAAAGGGTATATTGTATTGGATATGTATGAGTTGTGGGAGTATCAGGTAGCGACTTATGAAAATGGGGGTTTGTTCACCGATTTTATCAATAAATTTCTTAAGATGAAACAGGAAGCTTCGGGCTATCCGGAATGGTGTAAGACTGAGGAGGACAAAAATAAGTATATTGCAGAGTATTTGGGACACGAGGGAATTAAGTTGGAGAAAGAAAAGATTGTTAAGAATGGAGGTTTGAGATCTTTGGCAAAATTAATGCTAAACAGTTTTTGGGGAAAATTTGGACAGAGGGAAAATCAAACTAAGGCTACTATTGTTAGAGACTCGAAAACATTATTTCAAATGCTCTCTAGCCCCGAAATTAAAGTAAACAGAATTCAGATTGTTAATGATGAGGTTGTTGTAGTTTCATGGGAGTATTTAGAGGAAGTGGGGGAACCTCTTGGTAACATAAACGTTTGTATTGCGGCCTACACTACCTCGCAGGCGAGACTCAAGCTCTATGAACATCTTGAAGCCCTAGGAGCTCAAGTATTATATTATGATACTGACAGTGTTGTTTACATATATGGAAACGGTCTTTATAGGGTGTCTACAGGAGATTACCTCGGTGAAATGACTGACGAATTAGTAGAGTATGGACCCGGCTCATACATTACTGAGTTTGTCTCTGGGGGGCCTAAAACTTACGCGTACCTTGTCTGGTCAACCAATCAACAAAAATTGATCCCAATATGTAAAATCAAGGGCCTCACCCTTAACTTTAAAACATCAAAAGTTGTAAATTTTGAAAAATTAAAAGAGATGGTTCTGAGTGAAGCAAAACAGACTGTTGAAATTGAAGAAAGTAGAATCAGAAGGACTACAGACAGAGACATCGTCACCATCGCTGAGAGCAAAGTGTTTAAAATAACTGGTCCTAAAAGGAGGTACGAAGGTCAATATGACACTTTACCTTTTGGATATAGAAAAGTCCAAAGAGCCACATAAATTGTATTGTAAATGTAAACTTCTTTGTAAATAACTTTGTAAATGTAATTGTAAATTTAACTGTATATAGCTCTCCTAGTAAAAAAAACAAGTCTATAGATATATACTTATGTAACCTGACCAAGGTGTGAGTGTGTGTGTACATTGAGTAGTTCAGATTTAGAAGAACCTGTGCTACTCCTTGTACTTGTGTGAATGTGTGTACACTGGGGGGTTCAGATTGGATAGAACCTGTGCCCCTCTTTGTATTTGTGTGAATGTTATTGGTCACTGGCGCGGCCAACGAAACAGCCCGTAAACCATGAGTGAAAGTCACTGGCGAGGCCAACTAAACCGCCCGCAAACTTTGAATGTTAACTTTGGTAGGGTTATATAACTAAATCTATAGACTTGACAAAAAAAAAAGCTTTATAAATAAAGGAGAGGACGTTAAACAACATCAACCAATATAATATTATATACTATTATAAACTGGTATATAATATTATAAACTGGATAGGTTGTATAACGTTTAACTTGGCCTCACTTAATGAGGGGATAGTCTCAAACCCTATCCAATATAAAGCTAAAAGATGTGTATATATAATTTTTATAAGGAAAAACTATACTAGATATAAATTATTTGTCAGGCGGAAAGGGTTATCTAAATAAAAACACACATCCGCTGTGATAAGTGTACTCGATAACGATGAGGATAGTACAACAGGATGTATGGTTTCTTGTAACGGACTTTGATATCTTTAGTGGCATAGGGTCAGATAAGAATTATAAAAATGGCCAATTATTATCATGTTTTATCCGGTCTATTATCTGTGGTAAAACCAATGTCGAATATGATTTTGTGTAATCTTTACAAAAAAAATCTTGAGATATATAAAATTATAGAGAATTTATTGGGGAATTAAAAATATAATACTATTGTATAAAATATTTATAAGTAAATCTCGGTGATTTATTTTACTAACAAAATACCTATTTTGGGTTAGCATATAAGGTGTATTGCAGTTATACTCAAGTTATGCATTAATGAAGGACAAAAGTTAATTTGTAATTTAGTTGGAATATTACTATTTAACCTAAAAAGATATCACAATTTTGAAAATCTAATTGTTAACAATTCTACTTATTGTTTATCTATCTATCTAAATATATAAAAGGCAAAGCCCTCACTGACACACTCACTCATCACTAATTCTCCCACTTCCCATTTACCTAGGAGGCTGAAATTCGGTAGACTGATTCTTTGGGCCTTAAATAGGAAAACTAAGTAGTTTTTATTCTCATCGGGCTTTCGGGTTCCGCCCCAGTGGCTCTGGAGTTTCCTATGTTAACCTTATGAGAAATGAAATTATTGAATCTTAACAGCTGTTTCAATTAAACAAGTTGGTTCTGTTCTGTGATGTTCAATAGCATTAAAGTTACAAGGATTACCAACAGGGTGCAGCACTAGCACTATTATTTCTTTTACATTTATGACAACAGCTAATTTGCAACCTGGAGGCGAGTGAGCGTAGCGAACGAGCTAATCTGAAGGCAAGTGAGCGCAGCGAACGAGTTCCAACCTAAAAGTGAATGAGCGTAGCGAACGAACTTCAACCAGGACGTGATTGAGCTATGCGAACGAGCTCACTTATAAAGTTAAACGGGGCAAAGCCCATAGGTACAGCTAGTATTATATATTTTTGTCTTTGCTGAAGCTGTTTTTATAAATACAAAGATAAATACCTTATACCTTATTAGAGAATTTTATAATTTTTAATGTATAGATTTAACAGCTAACTTTAAATACTCATAAAATATGTATATATTTGAGGCTATGTATATATTATTGTGTTAAACTTTAGCTTAATCTATTTAGTTGTTTAAGAGTAATATATATAATCACACAAACTTTTAAATTTATAATATAGATAAGAAATTGATATTTTAGTAGGATATTATAATTATAGTTTCAATATAAATAAAGTAAAATGATATTTATCTTGATCCCTATTATAGTCTATATTTATTATTATGTAAAAAAACATCTTTAAGGAAAGTTATTGTCAAAACTATTGTAGCTGTTTGACAATTTGTATAACAATTGTGTTTTAAAATACTTAGTTTAATTGTTAATAAGTTTTTATCATTTAAATTAGTAAAAGTTGTATAAAAATTTTGGTTTTAGCAAAATTTCTATATAGGAAATAAGCTAATATATTATAATAAGACCTAGAACCAATTTTATTTTGATAACCCTAGAGGCTACCAACATAGCTGAACCAAGAGTTTTATAAAGTAAAACAGGTTTTTAACCTAAAAATAATTTAGTAGATTAAAACATTATTGTGTGCCAAATAGTTACTTCTATGTTATTTTTATGGAGAAAATTGTAAACTGTTATAGTTTGCTTATATCATTTTATACAATTAAAGTTAAAAATACTTTTACTACTCTCTGCTGTAGCAACCCTAAGCGTTTGTTAAATTTAATGATATTTAAATTAGAGATAAATATTTTTAGTAAAAATATAAGTTAAAATTTGCTTAGTTTTAACTGGACAAATAACTTAGTCGGGGGCGGGTTAATTAGTTAAGTGTATGTTTTTATGTAAAAATATATGTGTAGGGATTTAGTGGACCCTAAAATAAAAGTGGATACCTATAAATATTTGTGATATTTAAACTTTAGACATTATATATGTTTTTATATGGTTATATAAAATAATGATCCTACTATAAACTTAAACCTGTGTCACCTAAGTGAAAATATATTTAATAAATTTACCAATTTTCTTCTAAATCAGCCTCGATTCCTTCATCTTCTTCTATTTCTTCTTCCTCCTCTTCTTCTTCCTCTTCCAGTTCGTGGCTGCATTCTGCCACATATTCCCTAAACTGTCCATAATGGACAGTTAGGATCTCCTCTGCTGTCATATCGCTGCATCTATAAATCATTTAAAAGAGTATTAGAATCAGCATAAAGTTAAAAACCCTTGAGAAATAAATTTTAAAAACTAAGTTTAAAGATACGTACTGGCAACAAAGGGGAAGCCATTCTCCCCAGTGTTCTTCAATAGAACAACAAAAGACATAGCGGCGACAGCTCCAGCACACACCATTAGGCATCTTGTTAGAAAATGATGATAGTAACAGATAATATTGCTTTGGAGAGGAGGGGAAATAGTGACAGATAATACTGTCTTAGGAAGGAGGTGGAAAATGTGGTTAACTCAGATGTTCCCTCCCTCCAATCATATAAATATAAGCTGTAGCTGCTATATGGATTATTGTTATGTTAGTTTTCATCATAGCTAATATGGTGTTATTATTCTTCATACTACTTGTATTGAGACTACTAATCAGCTCTGAAGCAGTTGATGAAAATCTGCCCCCAAATGGTCAAGTAAGTAGTACTATATAATTATACAACTTTAGATAAATAATTAAAAGTAGCTTTGTGTTTTTTAATATATTTATTATAAAATAATTATTTATTTTTAATTAGGAAAAGCTCTTTGTTAGTGTTTTTTTATCAATGAATATGTTTTTATAGGATAGGGCAACAATAGAAGGAGATACAAGAGATGAAAGAGAACGATCAATTTTGGAAACTGTAAGTAAACTATTATTCATCTTTATTTATATTTGTTGTATACACATTTACTATAATGTTTTATTATTTAACCTAAAAAGATATCACAAATTTAAAAACCTAACTGTAAACAATTTTACTAGTTCTCATTGTATATTTTTGTCCATGCTGAAGCTGTTTTTATAAATATAATAGACTGCACCCTATTGGTAATTTTAATGTATATCATAGAACCAACTTTTACCAACAGCTGACTTTAAATATTCATAAAATTTTGCCTATATGTTAATTAGGGCTGTGAGCTAAATTATAGTTTAATTTGATAGTTAATTCATAACTTTTGTATAAATATATATTTGTTATTACAGTGGGGTGGTGGTTTGGAGACCTTTTTGGATCAATATCCCTACAATGCTGACTTGGAACATTACTTCATTAATGTGCATGGGGATGTCCTTTCCTTTGTCACATTAGACTATGATAATCTAGACCTAATACCACCTATACCTACGGGCTTCTGGACAATTTCTGAGGTATGTAGGTCTCTATGTAGTTTAAGTACCTCTAATAGTAGTAGAAGTAGTTTGTCTAATTCTTTATTTTTAATCTATATATGTATGGTTTTTTAGGAATATGCTCAAAATAGGATTCGAGATATGTGGTCAATAAGTAACCCTCCCGAACAAACTGGAGTCCATATCATAGAGTCATCACAAGAATATCCTAATCTTGTCTGGACTTTACTTCGATTAATGGTAGGTTTTATTTAAAAATATATAATCACTAGCTGTGTAATATAAAACTTTTATAGTATTTAGTTAAAACCTTATAAAACAGTTGGTTTATTTATTTTTAGATATGCTAACTATTATATATAACTTAATTTATGTTGTTTGTTTTAAACCAATATAATAATCAATAAAAAGATTAATTATCTGTATCTACTAGTTAACCCTAATATATCCTATCACATGAGATGCACTTTAACAAAATTAAACCACCAGTGGTGACAAATAAAACATAATAGGCCTACTTTTATTTTTACTATCAGTTTTATCTATCAATTATATACTAAATCTTGACTAAAAATGCTTATTTAAAAATATAATTTCCCACCTATATACAACACTATTTCAAAGTCTTTTTCCTAGTTATCAGAAATCAAAAAACCAAAAGATAAAAAGTTTATAATTTTATCCGATATACAGACAAAACTGTAATTTTATTTATATAATGTGTCTCTTTTAAAAAGTATTTTTTATTAATCATAATATGTTTTTTATAGAGAAATGGTGCATCTATAACTCTTAATGAAGAACGTCAACTGCTTGCAAGACCTAATGTTCGGCAAGCACCTATATCAAAAAGGATTGTCCTTAACTCACACTTAAGAGATATGTTAAGAGAGGCTGAATCTTCTGTTCTTGTTGTAAGTAGAAGCTTTATATAGATAAACTTCTACTTATCTAAGTGTTTAATTCAACTTATTAGGTTTTTAATTCTACTTATGTTTTCAGCCATTTGTTGCTATGGAGACAGATAGTTTTTTTCAAAACGATCTTGGCCATCTTCTCATTTTAGAAGCTAACCCACTTTTACCGCCTCGCTCCCCGCCACATGTATTAAGCAACTTTTATCCAATTACCTGGGTAAGCTATATAACTTGAATATATATATAATTAGATTTTTACAATATATCAAGATTAAGTATTTTTGTCACCTCTCATATCTTAAACTTTACTCTAAATCAAATATATTTTACTAAACCTTTTATTTAGACAGATTTTACACAGTAATCAATTACACAAGAGCTTTAAGAATTTGTTTTTAGTTTTGATGACTATAGTGAGGTGATTAAGTTAACTCTTTAAAAGTTATTAGTATTTATAATTTAAGCAACAAACATATTTATAATCTATATAAATAATATGTTGCAAACTAGTCTTATACTCTTAGGCTCTGCTCTAGCTGTTTTAAAAGTTTCTAGATTATTGTTTATATTTTAATCAGCTATATAATTTAATTATTTGTTTTTTTAGCAAACAGCGCAACAACTAATACATGAAATACAAATACAAGGAGCAGGTCCCTCTAATTGTATAGTTATCATACATGAAAACATTGATGGATATAATTGGCAATTGATCAGAATGTATACACTTCAAGACAACCCTATTTGGGCTTGGCAAACAACAACAAGGCGTTTTACAGCTAATACAAACTGGATACACATAAATGATCAGATCGATAACTATTTAGTAACTCCTATACAAAACAACTCACCAGCTAGTTCACCATCAAGCCCAAATTCAAGCATCATAGATTCACCACCTTCAAGCCCTGGATCTGTAGTTCCACCAAGTCAGAGTTCAAGAGATTCCTTCTTTCAAGATGATCGTGATATTCTAAGATCGGCTGTAAGTATATTTATAGATTAGAATTAGTTAGAGTTTGTTAAACAAGATTTTAAATTCTACTTATTTTAATAGCTTTTTTTCTATTACAAACCAATCACAAAGTTCTACATTTCAAACAAGTTCTATTTATCTCAACTATACTATATATATACTTGATCATAGTTTGTGATTTAATTTTTATTTATAAGAGAGAGCTATTATTTACAAAGAAGAGCTATAAATAATGTAAGTTATAGTTTTCCTTATATAATACATATCTTAGATATTAAATAATCCTAGGTATGTAACAGAGTTTTATGATAAAAAATATTAAAACTTTAATTTTAGTTTAAGGTTGTAATTTTAAAAAAAGTCTAGCAACCCACAGATGAGTTGATTTCAATAATAGTTAAACTAACAGTTAGTTATTATTATTCTATTTTTAATAAGCTTTATTTTTACAGATATCTGAGAGTTCTTCACCACCACCCACTAGACGTAGGCGGCTAAATACAGAACGAGTGCTTTTACCCCGTGGAGACTCAGTAAGAAATATTTTAAAAGAAGTATTTAAAAAGTCCAAAAATATACAAGCAAAAACAATACAACAAATATTTACTAGGATTATATTATAACCATTTTATGTTTCAGATTAACAGATCAAATAACTTTGGCCTTTGGTTCGTACACACAAGAGGGATAGTTCTTCACATTTTTTCGGTAAAATACATTTTAAATATTTTTAAAACAATATTAAAATATAATTTATATTATATATGTTTATACTGTATATCATTATTTAGCTAAGATTGTGTTTCAGGAAGAAGTTATAGCTAGACTTGCTATACCCACCAACTTCCGGCAAGTAGACCAAGATTATGCTGAGAGGTGTGTAAGCGAGCTTTATACAACAGCTTTGCAAGAGCTGTTAGTTGAGGATTATTACATAACTTCAAGGATTAACGATGTTACCTGTGTTCTACGAATTCTTATGGTGAGTTATATAGAGACAAAAAAAAAAGATTTTTATAGTTTAAGAGAATCTTATACCTATTTACATTTTAAACTATTTGTTTCAGAGAGATGGTGTGTTTTATGAGAGGGACCTAACAAACATCCCTTCAGCTTCAATCCCTATTTCTGGATTTCCACATGAAGAAATTACAAATATGATAATACTAGAACCTTCAAGTTTTCTACGAATGTTTTCATCAGAACATGTAGGTAGCATTACCTGAACAATTTAATATTATTTTAATAACACCCCGCCTATTACTAATACTTATTTTATTTTCAACAGCTCTCACCAACAATAGTTTCTGTTGTTAGACCTACATTATTAGTGCCTCCTATTACACCTCATTCAATACCTCCAGCTTCAGCTGTATCCCAGGCATCTTCAACAGATGGAGTATGGCTATCTGTAGATAGGTCGTCGTCTAATACACGAGCTAATGTTGCAATGCGGCGAGCAATGACTGCTGAATTAGCTGGACCATCCCACCCTTCTAGACGAGTACAACCTGTAGTAAGTATTTTAACATTACAAGACATATAAGTGTAATACTAATAGCCTGTAAGAACAAACTCAAAATCAATTTAATTAACTCGACATTTTTTTATTTTTACTGATGTAGTTAGATAATTACCAAAGAAGTTAGATAATTATCAACCACCTTCAAGTCGAAGCTACTATATTTAGTAGCTTTTAATGATAAAGTTAAGCCCTCTTTTAGCTGTTTTTAACATCAGATAGATAAATTATAGTTTGTTCCACATTTATTATAAACATCCAATACTACTACATATTTAATATTCTTTTATGCTCAACAGTAAGGTTCTGTTTAATAAAACATACATGTAGAAACAAGTACAAATTATTATAGTATTTTAACAAAATCAATTTAATTAACTCGACATTTTTTTTTTACTGATGTAATCAAGTAATTACTACCTAAGCTATTACTAATACTTATTTTGTTTTCAATAGCCATCTTCCGATATAGGTAATATCGTTAGACCTACACTACCTTCAACTTCAGCTATATCCCAGACACCTTCAACAGTGAATACCCCAGCTGGTGTTGCTAGACAGCGGCCAACAGCTGATGAATTAGCCGGTCCATCACAATCTCCCCAACATATACAACCTGTAATAAGTATTTTAACATTACAAGACATATAAGTGTAATACCGATAGCCTGTAAGAACAAACTCAAAATCAAATCATTCAACTCAACATACTTTTTATTTTTTGCTGATATAGTTAAGTAATTACTTCAATGGTTTTAACTCTACTAAACATATTAGCTTCCTAAGCTTGCTTTAGTTACTAATGATAAATTTCTTATATATACAACAAATAAAAGTGTTGAGATACAATTACAGGTATTAGATTTTTTTTGTTATTATTTATCTCTTTTTTAAAGATTTAAAAATAAAACACCACATTTATCAAACTTATTAATCTTTATAGCTATTAATCTAATAAACTGTTACACTTAAATAGAGTTGCATTAGTTAACTAATCACAAAGTTACTTCAACACATATATTTTTAGTTCTAATAAGTTTTAAATTCCAACAGTGGGCTACACCTGGTTTATAAAACCATATTATTTTCCACTTATTGGGACTTGATATAGTACTTAAACAAATATTTCACCTATACAAATCTATAGAAAGAATATTAGTTAAACACTACATTATTAAATCTACAAATGTTTATATAAATCTGTAGTATATGTTTTTATAACAGAGGTTTATTCAGTTATTTTTATTCCTTCAACAATAAATTTAAATTAGAAGAGAAAGCTACCCCAGTTTTATATGATACAGATTAACTATTAAGTGAGTGATCCAAATATAATATTACCTTGATGATAAATCAACTATATATCGAAGTAAATAAAAATCAGCTTAATATATATGTTTCTATTTTCAGAATTCTACTTCAACTATACCTGAAACACATGAATGTCACAGCTGCCGGCAGAGCGCTCGCCTTGAAACCTTTCGCAGGAGGTTACTTCAAAGGGTAGGTATCCTTTAAAGAGAAATTAAGTATAAATAAATTAATATGTTTACACTAAACTTTCCACACAAAATTTAACTATTGTTTACCTCCAGCTTGAGAGATTTATTATATACTACTGTAATAAATTTTACTAACCAGCTGATTTATGGTTTATACTATTTTATATAAATAGATAAAAACATTAATTCTTGTATAATATCTTTCAGGCTGTGAATAACCCGGAATTCACCCTACCTGCAGCTGCAGCTGGTAGGATTGCTACGCTACGAACCGAACTCCTAGCTGTAGCTAGCTTAGCCGGAAATACATTAGAGGGTTATTCAAATGCTTGTGGACTACAGCCAGCAGTTATACAGCCAGCAGCTCTATGGGAGGACCTCCGTAACACGTTAGAAGGTGTATTGAGGCAGACTACCGGCCAAATAGACACTATGATATCAGAACGAGTTCCACGACCATCAAATCCCCCAATTAATTTGGTAACGTGTCAGATTTGCCTAGAGAATGCCCCCACAGTTGCTTTACAACCATGTGGGCATACCCTGTGCCCTAATTGCGCGCACAGGGTATATAGATGTCCCTTTTGCAGAAAATTTATAGCCGATAGGCTAAATATATATTTCTCTGAGTAAAATCTACTGTTTTTATTTAACCTCAAAAACCCTGTATTGTTAATACATTTGTATTATAATACAAATTTCAAAATAGTATTAGTTTTAATAAATAGTTACTTCTAATACTTACCCATAATAGAAGCTGTACCACAGAAGACATAATGAACTACACAACTGTAGAGGACAATCCAATGTCATATAATCAGTTGGTACTAATTAACAAAGCGTTGGTTTGAGGTCACGTAATCAACCGAGATAGTAAGAATCACTGCTACATGATAAAAAGTTTGTTAGCTCTAACAGCTTAGAGTAAAACATTTAAAAGATGTATATAGTACAAGTAATACATGGTTATAATCCATTATAGTAAATCTTATATATTTATACATTCATTACTGCATCAACACTAGCACTCCAGTAGTAATAGGTAAAAAGTGAGGTTATGTTACATATACAAGAGATCAAACCTTCTGGACAAACAGTTAACTATACAAAAAAACAACCCAGAATAACTCATTTACTATTTGACAGCCTTTACAAAAACCATTTTTTATACTCAATAGTAAAGTTTAACCCTCTTTCAGCTGTTTTTAACAAACACAGTTTATCACATTAGACTATTTAACACAAACACTATTTACAAATATTTACATTTTCGGTCGGATGACGATTTACGGTAAAGTCAAAAAACCTAGCGCGCAAACGCATACGCAACCAGAAGCACTACATATATCACTATTTAACTAACAACTAGCTTGAAGAGGTATTTGTAGGGAGGTTCGGTCAGAGAATAGGGTGAGTTTACAATGTTAGAGCTTTCTCTTCTTGGATTGCGACGTTGCCAAGTCTCTGCGCTGTTGCCACATTGATCTTCTAGGTGGTTTATAAGTTTGAAAATTATTGAATTGTTGTAATCTTCTTTTTTTGTTTAACAACATCTTTTTTGTTTTTAACATCTGTTTATTTCACATTTATTATACACTATATAATATAACATTCAGCAATTACCAATTATGATCAACGGTAAAGCTCCGCTTAAGCGTTATACACTATATAAAGTGTTTTTTTCCAGACCTACTAGGATTGAACCTATGAACCTCTAAACTAAGTCACGTAATCAGCTGTGGTAAGATTACATCCGGCATTGAACCTCTAATAACATGTTTTGTGATTGGTTAGATTCGAACCCGTGAACCTCTAGCATAGGGTTAGGATTGAACCAGTAAACCTCAGTTACCATTAGTGGTTGGTTAGATTCGAACCCATAAACCTCTAGCATAGGTTAGGATTGAACCAGTAAACCTCAGTTACCATTAGTTAGATTCGAACCCATGAACCTCTAACATAGGTTAGATTCGAACAAACCATGTTAAAATCAAATCTCCAATACACACCCTGTATATGCAAGGTACAAGAGTAGGTATAGGTATAAGGTGTCATTTACCGATATAAAACTCCATACCCATAATTACTGTTGTGGCTCATATGGTAACGACTCCAACTACCAGCAAAAAGACCGGGGTTCGAAACCCGGTCAGGCCAACACTTTTTATCCATAATTTAATAATTTATTTAATACAAACACCTACTGCACGTGGTCAGCTGTGGTCAACTAATCAGCTGAGATCATCTCAAGGTCAAATTCCTGCCCGATCGCTGCCATGACTACTGAAGCGATACCTTCTTCTTCTTTTTATTTGTTTAAGTTTTGCGACAAACAAATTTGTTGTAAGACAGGGAGAACGACTTTTACTCTAAGCTCTTTCATTCATGGAGTAAACAGTCTTGGCGTATATGAATATATATAATTATAATTTCATAACTTTCAGAATAATAAATTGAACTTTACAATATTAGTCTGCAGTTATCTACCATTTATGTTCAGTATTAAAATTCACCTTTAAATTAAAAATATGTATATATTTAGAACTAAGCAGTTTTTTATAGGTATATATAGTCAATGATATAATACAGAAAGCACACAGCTTGACTTATTGCAATATCTGTTTTTAGTTGTCGTTATGTCACAAAAATAATTTTTTGAAAAATCTAAAATATTTAACACTGTAAAAATTATGTAAGATATTGAAAAAAAGAGACCTAAACGGTAAATAAAGTAAACTTATTCCTCACAACTCAGGATCGACGAATGTCACTGATACTTGAATGCTTATGTTGATCACTTAATTATTTATTGATATATATTGTAAAATGTGGAACATAAGTGAATTATCCAAGAAAGAAAAAACATATGAACCCTTGTAAAAATTTAATTTACCTACCGATGTAATAGTGTTTTACATCACAAATTATTGCCACAAAATCTATACTGTAGTTTCAATTCAACGTTTCATTTGTTACAGTTGTTTTCTCACTCAATATCTTCATGCTCTCTACGCATAAGAAACCTATTTCTTTCCAACATGCTTACCGTTCAGTAGCACATCATTTTTATCTTAAATTAACATAAAAGCTAGTGCAACAAAGATGTGTTTTCCTAGAGAGGTAGATCTTTAGATTTATGTGGGCTCCGAACCCCCGGACATTATCACCTAGCTAAAAGCCGTTAGCGATTGCTGGGATTCAAACCCTAACTGTGAGGGAAGAAGTCCCGCGATCACTACAACAATCGCTCTCGTGTGATCACATTATTAAATTTAAAAAATTAGACTCCGTCCGTCAATTCCCCACACTACCGAGACCGCCTTTTACTACTTCACCCCCAACATCTTGATTAAAGACTCGAGACAGATGAGAAATGCCCGAGACAATCGGCTGCATACAAAGTGTTGATTGATGACGGTAAAACACCCTCCGCCCCTTTATCTCGAAAACTTCAAAGAATTCCAAGACTTTTGGCTTAAAAGCTTTCACTTGTAATGAACATGTCGAATAGTGAATTAAACCTTGGAAGAAAACTGGCTCGCCATTCAACGTTTGAAACAGTAGCTTTTGAATAAAGATTTGTGACTTAAATTAATATTTCCAAGAAAATTTTACGTTACTTTGGTGACGAAGACTCGTTTGTAAAAGGTAGATTCATCTGTAAATGATCATTAATTTTGTGCGTGTAGTTTCAGTCCAAATAATACAATTTAATAGATACATTAGGAAATACTCTTTTACAACTGAACGCTTTAAGAGTACAAATCCACTGACGACTTACCACGAAACTATGAACATGTGTGACTTTTAGAAGTTGATAATCCGAAAATATTGGCAGTATTTTAATCGTACTATAAAATACCCCCGCCGCAGCGAACCTAAGCGAATTTCCGTTTGCCTGATTGGATTTACACTAAAATGTCTCCTAAAAAATTTCACATTTATTACCTATTTGAATGGAATTAGTTTAAAGAGTACTTAGGTTTTCTGCAAAAAGGAGGGTAAAAAGTGTTTTTTTTTATTAATATTTTAGTAAGAAATGAATGTATTTTCCAAATTTGGTTAAAATATGTTCATAAACAAGCAAACTATAACAGT